ATACTCCTCAAAGAATAAAAAAGACCAACTTTGTAGTAATCGCAATACTCCTCAAAGAATAAAAAAGACCAACTTTGTAGTAATCGCAATATTCCTCAAAGAATAAAAAAGATCAACTTTGTAGTAATCGCAATACTCCTCAAAGAATAAAAAAGACCAACTTTGTAGTAATCGCAATATTCCTCAAAGAATAAAAAAGACCAACTTTGCAGTAACATCAACAATCCTGACAGAAGAAGATGACAAAAAAGATCAACTTTGTAGTAATCGCAATACTCCTCAAAGAATTAAAATAGATACTTTCCAGTAACGCTAACAATCTTGAAAAAAGAAAAAAAAAGACCAACTTTGTAGTAACAGCAACAATTCTGAGAGAAGAAGAAGAAAAAGAAAAGACCAAGTGTGAGGCAGTGTGGAGAAATCAGGCGCTCATCAAAATAATGAAAATGAAGAAACTGGCATTTTTCAGCCAGTTTGACAGTATTTTAAATCAAATTTTTACTTTTTGGCTGAACTCCTTTAAGATCCATTTAATAACACATTTCTGTGTGGGTTTTACTAAAAAAAAAAAAAACTTGCTTTAAGGTGCAAAAATTGTAAATGTTCAGTTTTCACAGACTCTGAAGCTATGGAAATAACTAAACTTTGGCAGCCATTTTCTCGCTATTTTTACTACAATTACAATCACCAGGCGATCCCCACCTCCTTCAGTCTCAAATATCTCGGCTTCTGTTTAGGAAAAATGATCTTTTTTCTTCAAAAGCAAGGCAAATAAACAAGCTTTAAGGTGATAGGCCTACCAGTAATTCAATATGCCCAAAAATTGACGAAAGCCCAATTCCACCGTACCGGGCCACAAATTTGCAGTAGCGAGAACAATCATGAAATAATTTTTTAAAAATAAAATCAACTTTGTAGTAATCGCAATATTCCTGAACGAATTAAAAAAAGATCACCTTTGAAGTAAATCTAATCGCAATATTTCTGAACGAATAAAAAAAAAAATCAACTTTGAAGTAATCGCAATATTCCAGAACGAATAAAAAAAAGATCATCTTTGAATTGAAGTAACGACAAGATTTCTACAAGACCAGCTTTGCAGTAACCACAACATTCCTAAAAGAAGGAGCCAACCACACCAGAGCTCCCGCCAACCACCCATGATCAGAAGTGTAATTAAAGAGTAAAATACTTATAAATAATATATATAAAAGAAAGAAGGAATATAAGGGCGATAGATGTTTGGAAGGAAAGAAGGAGCAAACCACACCAGAGCTCCGGCCAAGCACCCACGATTAGAGGTGTAATTAAAGAGTAATATACTTATAATATATATAAAAGAAAGAGGGAATATAAGGGCGATAGATGTTTGGAAGGTTAGAAGGAGCAAACCACACCAGAGCACACACCAACCACCCACATTGCTCCTGTATGATGATAATCTTATCATAATGGAGCTAAGCCCGTTTGGGAGGTCAGTATACATGTGCCAAAAAATCTCCAAAAATACGATTCAGCTAAGAATTGCCGTAATCACAAAGGTCATTACGTGGGCATATTTTCAAAGTTAGGAAACTATCTTTTGATTTTCCAAGTTTGATGTTTTTCCTGTAGATCTATGTTGAAGCCCTCAGATGTTTTCACTCTGCCAAAAGCCATTTCATATTTTACTGAGGGCTACTTTCGTTTAAAATTGCACTTTGTCGTTTGTGTGAATCTGTGAATCCCATTTTCCTCCAAACATTCTACGAGTCATGGAGCCACACAGAACCATGTCATTCTAGGGACCTGAGGCAAGGTGTGTTCCCCCACTTCTCCTCTCCCCCTCCCCTCACCCCTTCCCTACACCTCATCCCCCTCCCTCCCCTCCCCCC